TCTTCACTGGGGCCAACTGTTAACGTGAAATGGGTTCTTCTGGACAAATGAATTCCAGGAGTATTGTTTTTGAAAAACAGAGATTATCAATTCTGGTCTTTCAAAGAGTTGGGGCGGTCTTCCTTTTGCATGGAATCATGGGCTACGAGACAGGAAATAGAGCGAAGTGCCAGCGAAGCCATCAGGACACTTATACAAAGGGCACATCATTTCCTGGGGACTGAGATGGAAGCCTTGGAGACAATGGTATGGACAGGGATAAACAGGGAACAGAAAGTTTCCATGTCTGGTTTTGTTTGTTTTAGGTTTTTCTAGTTTCAAGATTAAAAATAACAGCACAATAGAGGAATAAGAAATTATATTTTCATAATGATATGGCTTATGAAGCTCAAGACATTTTTGCATTTATTTGTTTTGTGTGTGTGTGTGTGTGTGTGTGTGTGTGTGTACATGTGCACATGTCTGGCACACATACAGCGGTCAGAGGTCAACTTTCAACTGATGGTTCCTTCATTCTACTATATGGGTTCCAGGAACAAATTTGGGTCATCGTAAAGTCAACAGCAAAATCCTTGTCCCACTGAGCCATCTCAACGACCTAGACCTATAAAGATTTTCATACTTCATGAAGATAAAAACATCCTCCACAGGTATTAGTTTACTAGGGAAGTTGCTCAGAGCTCAATATTGTTTTTATTTTTAAAAGGTTTGTGTGTATGGACGTTTTGCCTACACATATGTCATGAGCATGCAGGGCCCCTGAGGCCAGAATAGCACATTAGATTCCTTGGGACTGGAGTCACAGACACTTGTGAGCTGTGGTGTGGGTGCTGGGAACTGAATCTGGGCCCTCTAGAAGAGGTGCTCTTAACCACTGAGCCATAACGTGGTCAAAAGATCTTTCATCCCTCTATAGATAGCTCTGTAGTATCCAGGGAGCCATGGAAACATGGACAAAAGAGCGCCGGAAGGGTTGAGGTCCAATCCTTGATCACATGACCCGACAGAGGGATTTGCAGTCCCTCTGTGGCACAGATTCGTGTTGTACAATGATGTCTTTGTCCACATACAGGGACACACACACACACACACACACACACACATTTACACACACACACACACACATACACACACACACACACACACATACACACACACACACACACACACATATACATACACACACACACACACACACACATACATACACACACACACACATACACACACACACATACATACACACACACACATTTACACACACACACATTTACACACACACACACATTTACACACACACACACACATACACACACACACACATACATACACACACACATACACACACACATACACACACACACATTTACACACACACACATTTACACACACACATTTACACACACACACACACACGTGCACTCACACACACACACACACACACACACCACCCCCACAGTTCTTTTTATCTTCAAGGTCAATGTTCTAAGGTATTACATTTGCACCACAGGAAAAATACAGAAATAAACTGTTTTAACCTCAGTCACCCATGTTTTCTACTCTGGCTGGGACTTCAGGCAGTGACCTATCCAAAGCTGAATGTTTAAAATCATCTTATTAAGAACAGAGATCCACAGGCCCACTGCCTGAGGCTCTGATTCAGCACTACTTAAAATCAAAACTCAAAGCCTCCTAGGTGGTTTAGGCATGAAAGCCAGATTTGGACCCACAGTGAGTGAGTCATCCTCTGACACTGCTGGGTGCTGTCCACTGTCGCTATGGAAACCACTGGTGTAGACCTCGGCGTGACTGAAGTTTTGGATTTTTTTTTTTTTTAAGCATGTATCTGTTTCAAAAAATAGAGGGCATTATTTTTGGAGGAGAAGATGTGTTTTCTCTCCCTAAATATTTATATTTTGTGAGAAAAATCAAGGCGCCCACAGAGCAGAAAATTTTCTCTCATTTAAAACCATCGGACAGAAAACGGAAGTCCTTTGCCACACACACCCAGATGGAAGGAACTGATGAGAAGTTATTCCTCGAGGCAAGTTCTAGACCACCTGGACTGTCCTTCGGGTTTTAGCTGAGGTAAGATGCTCTGCTGGAAGAGTCTTGGGCCTAGCTAGGGGCCTTCCTGGTGATGGGGTGAGGAGATGACCAGCCAAGATGGCGTCAAGGCTCTGGAGGCCCCTGCCGGAGGCAGACCTGGAAGAGAATGACCCTCCGGAAGTTGCTGATGCCTCAGGGTGGCTGAGGAGCTGGGTGACCGGTGCTGACAAATACACCGTGTCTACTCTGACTGCAGAGAGACTAAGTGGTACCCTCTTCCATCGGGCTTCCAAGGCAGAGAAGATGCAGGAGAGAGGGACTGAGAGATGGTTTCCATCACTGTGTTGAAGGGTTGGCCAGACAAATTCAGGGCTTGGTGGTTTGTTCTCTTTTCTTTCATTTAAAAATTTGAACCTTAGAGGCTTGTATCACAGATGGAAGTTTCTTGGGATTCACTGCTATTTGTAAACCCTGATAGATCTCAAGTACCAAGGCAGAGTTTCCCTCCCAAAAATGCTGTCTGGGATCTGCTACTATGGTAGTTCCCATTACACTACAGTGGCCAGGGGTCCTGTGGATACTGGAATCACACTTTCCCACAGTTCCTTCCATCTCTCCTTCCCTCCTCCCAGCCTCAAAAGGGACTTTTCTTTCTTTAAAATAGAAACAATTGTTGTTATCATTCGAGATAGAGTCTCACTATGTAGCCCTGACTGGCCTGGAACTTCATATGTAGACCAACCAGGCTGGCCTTGAACTCACAGTGATCCATCTGCCTCTGCCTTCTGATTAAAGGTGCCACTAGTGGCAGAAGGTCCTTTTGAAAGAACCACTCAGCTCTGGGTGCTGAGCTTTCTCCAGCCAATGCTCTTAGCATGCTTTTCCCCATTTCCTGGCACAGGAACCCATCTTGGATCCTTGCTGGCCATCAGTGTGTTCCATCCTGCCATCTACTCAAAGCACAAGGAGAACCGAGGTTTGCATCCACCTGCCTCTGCCAACTCATCCATACCTCCATCACATCAGACCCCAAACCCGTCCACACCTCCATCACATCAGACCCCAAACCTATCCACACCTTCATCATATCAGACCCCAAACCTATTCACACCTCCATCACATCAGACCCCAAACCCATCATCCACACCTCCATCACATCAGACCCCAAACCCATCCACACCTCCATCACATCAGACCCCAAACCTATTCACACCTCCATCACATCAGACCCCAAACCCATCATCCACACCTCCATCACATCAGACCCCAAACCCACCCACACCTCCATCACATCAGACCCCAAACCCACCCACACCTCCATCACATCAGACCCCAAACCCACCCACACCTCCATCACATCAGACCCCAAACCCGTCCACACCTCCATCACATCAGACCCCAAACCCATCCACACCTCCATCACATTGGACCCCAAACCCATCCACACCTCCATCACATCGGACCCCAAACCCATCCACACCTCCATCACATCAGACCCCAAACCCATCCACACCTCCATCACATCAGACCCAAACCCTGGCATCATGTTCAGACTTATCACCTCTGTTTTGCTCTGATAGCTCACCTCTCAGCCACTGGGTTTTCTTTTTCTTTTTTTTTGTTTTTTTTCGAGACAGGGTTTCTCTGTGTAGCTTTGCGCCTTTCCTGGAACTCACTTTGTAGACTAGGCTGACCTCAAACTCACAGAGATCCGCCTGCCTCTGCCTCCCGAGTGCTGGGATTAAAGGTGTGCGTCATCACCGCCCGACTAGCCACTGGGTTTTCTCAATAGTGCTGTAACTGCTGACTGTAAGCCTCTAGCCTGTGTCTGGATCCCAGGGAAGGGAACACTAGGGAGATCTGATGAATTCACTCTAAGATGTCTGACTGTGTCAGTTGTTCGGGTCTGTAGACATAGCAATCCACACAATGACAAAGTGTCACATGAGAAGAAACTAGGAAGGGACATAAAAGGACTGTTGTTGTTGTTTTTTTTTTTCAGGGGCTAGATAACAAAGAGGAAGAAGTAATGACCACATCACAATTGCCCACTGGTCCTGTTTATTTTGAACCTCCTCCACTTCACTCTGCCTGCTATACACATTACCATCATCATCATGTTCTACATTGTAACCTTTCATCCCTTCTCAGGATGTGATGGACCCATGAACATGGAGACTATCTACATGCCTAGATGAACTCTCTACTTGCCCACTTTGGGTTTAGAAGATTCTCTCCCTCCGTTTTCCCTCTGTTTTTTCTCTCATACCTCAGCTTCCAGTAGGTTAGATTACTTTTTTTTCCCAAGGTTTATTTTATTTTTAATTATGCGCACGTCTGTGTGTGGATCCAGTGCAGGTACCCACTGAGGTCTGAAGAAGGCACCAGATCTCCTCCTGGAGCTGGAGATACAGGCCGCTGTGACCCACCTGACTGTGCTGGGAACCGAACTTAGGTCCTCTGCAAGAGCAGCATGTGCTCTTAACTGCTGAGCCATCTCTCCAGCCCAGGTTAGAGGTTTTTAACCTGTGATCCACAGATTGCTTCATGCACTTGGGGAAACTCTTGCTATCATATATCATGTATGTCTGTGCATTTGCAGATATATGAGAGAGGCGGATGCTCTCTATAGCCATCTTTTCCTCATCACATTGTTTTGTTTTGTTTTTTTGAGACAGGGTTTCTATGTGTAGGCTTGGCTGTCCTAGAGCTTGCTCTGTAGACCAGGCTGGTCTTGAACTCACAGAGATCTGCCTGTCTGCCTCCCAAGTGTGAGATTAAAGGTGTGCTCAACCACCGCCCAGCTCCCCATTATATTTTTTAAAGGAACCTTCAAATACAAAGATAAAGGGGTGCTGAGTGGTCTTTAGCCTACCCTGTGCGATCTACATAGGTGACAGGTGGAGGTAACTAGGGGACCCTGGTGGTCAGGCCCCGGCACGGTACTGTACCTTGGAAGCAGCCATCACAGCTGCCGTGGCCGCCACGTTCAAGCCCCGCTTCCCAAAGTGCACAAGGGCGTCATAACTTCGATCTTTTGCTTGGACCAGGCAGTCATCGATTTCCTGTCAGAGAAGAAGCAGAGGCACACTGAACTGGCAAGTTCAAATACATCTCCTCTCATTCTTTCTTCCCAAGCGCGGGCTTGGCAGCTTGCCCGATGGCTGACTCTCCCTGGCCTGTAATGGCATAGATACTTTGAATAGGTGTCCATAGATGGCTGGAGAAAGACAGGTTAGCTATGGCCAAGGGCCAAGGGGAATTCTGAACAAGCAAAAACACAGCAATTCACTGCCCCAGCAAGGCTCTAGGGTTATCTCTAAAGTTTTTTTACGTTCCAGGGATGAAGACAATCCTGCCTTTCCCTGAGAAGCTGTTCAACAAGACAGACAGACAGAATCTGGCATGACAGAATGCCACAAACAAAGGTTCAGATTCAGACCTCAGCTAGTCGGTAGAAGAACTCGGGGGTTTGTTTGGTTTGGTTTTGTTCTATTTTTAAAAAGATTTATTTTATATGTATGGATGTTTTGCCTGCATGTATATATGTGCACCATGTGCATGCGGTGCTGTGGAGGTCAAAGAGGTGTCAGGTCCCCTGGAACTGTAGTTACAGATGGCTGTGAGGCACCACCTGAGTGCTAGAAACAGAATTCAGGTCCTCTGGAAGAGCAGCCAGAGCTCTTAACCGCTGAGCCATCTATCCAGCAGCACTACACAGTTTTCTCTTCTGGAAAAGGACAATAATGATGGGGGCTTCACTTGTGGTATATGGAGAGGGTTAACAAGGAGAGCACCTTGGCTACCACACGTGATAGCCTCCGTCATCCTCTTCATCTTCAAGACAGGTGATGGGAACCTTGCAATTCCCAAGTTCTGTTATTCCAAGATATTGCCTCCTGTGTGTAGTGATAGAAATTGGATACAGAAAAAAGGGCAATATTTTTGTGGATAAAGAACATTTTAACAGATGCTGATATAAAAGAAAGTAAAGTCTCTGGTGTCACACAAAGGAAAGACAAGGTGGAAAACGGCACTGGGTCTCCTGACCAAAGCCAAGGACAGTACTGCTAACTCAGTTTGATTCTGGATCATCTCTAGTGTATTCTGGTTCTCTCTTTGTTTTGTGCTTTGCATTGTTCTGAGAAAGTAGGTGTTGGGTAGCCACTGTGGCTCATTTCAAAGCTCAGTGAGATGTGTGGCATGAGTCTTGTTTGAAGCTCTGTTAGTGAGTTTCCTTTGCTTGGAAGTGTGTGTGTGGGGGGGGGGGGGGGGCAGGTCAGGTGCCCCAGCTGTGGTTCCTGTTCCTAGCCTCCCCAGGAGGTCCTAGTCTCTGTGATCCAGAAGACTAAGGGAGTGATGCTTGGCAGGTCTTAAGAGACACCACTGCTGTGGGATGGTCTGTATGTCAAGTGTGTTGCTGATTGGTCAGTAAATAAATCACTGATTGGCCAGTGGCCAGGCAGGAAGTATAGGCAGGACAAGGAGGAGAATAAAGCTGGGAAGTGGAAGGCTGAGTCAGAGACACTGCCAGCCACCACGATGACAAACAGCATGTGAAGATGCCGGTAAGCCACGAGCCACGTGGCAAAGTATAGATTTATAGAAATGGATTAATTTAAGCTGTAAGAACAGTTAGCAAGAAGCCTGGTATGGCCATACAGTTTGTAACCAATATAAGTCTCTGTGTTTACTTGGTCGGGTTTGAGCGGCTGTGGGACTGGCAGGAGATAGAGATTTGTCCTGACTGTGGGCCAGGCAGAAAAACTCTAGCTACATACCACATTTTCTCCAATGGACAGGACACAGCTTCAAGGAAGACACAACATTCAGGGAAAAGGAGAGAAGAGAGGGACTGATAACCAAGTCAGGAGATATCCAGTTCTTTAATCCAACCTCTCTAGATGGGAGGCGCTGTGGGCTTTTTTCTGAAGGGGATGTTCAAGGCTGTCTACAGATGCCCAATTAATTACTCTGTTCTCCAGGGCCTTCCTGTACAGGAAGTCCAAAGCCTTGAACTTCAGAAACTGCAGACATTAATATACCAGTGGGAACTACCTACAGGGCTCTGTGGTCATTTTCTTGATGCTGTGAGAGAATACCTCAGAGAATGACTTGAGAAAGGAGGTTGTTTTTTTTTTTTTCTTGATGGTTTGAGGTAGTATCATTCATCATGGTGGGCAAGACACGGTGACGGGGGCTGCTCAAGGTCACAGTGGCAGGAACATGTGACAGCTGTTTCTTACATGGCACAGCCACAAACCAGAGACCTCAGTGCACCAGAACCAGAGGCAGATATCAACTTAAATTCCTGCCCCATAATCCACATTTGCCCTTCAGACCCCATGTCCAAGAGATTCCACGGCCTCCCCAAACAGCACCGCAGCTGTGACCAGCTCCTCAAACACGCGAGCTTGTGAGGGATATTTCACACTCAAATGTAGCAGACTCCTGCTTTATTTTAAAGAATTCTACTACACAATTAGGTTAGAAAATAATGTAACTAATGAATTTTACACTGTTAGAATCATTTGGCCCAGTAATCCCACTCTCAGGAATTCATTTTAAGATAAAAGAAAGACCTGAACAAACTCTGTGTGTGGTAGGTGCCTAGTGCAGAATTGCTGTGACAGGAAGAAAATTGGAATAATCTCAGTGTCTAGTAGAAGGAAACAGGTCTCTCAACGCGGGTCATTAGACCATGCAGATATGGGTTAGGGGCAGTATTTACTATCTCAAAATACAAATAACCCTCTGCTTGGAGAGCCATCCCTATTTAGTTATTTACTTAGTGTGTGTGCTGTATGTGTGTCGGGGAGATGTATGCACCCATGGCTACATTGGGTGTCTCCCTCTATTGCTCTCTACTTCAATAAAGATTTTCAATTTACAGTTATTTATTCTTTCTGTGCGTGGAAGTGGTGGGGCAGAATACAAGTCAGAATACAACCTCTCGCTCATCTGGGTTTGGGGGCTCAAACTCAGATTGTCAGGTTTGGTGACTAGCGTATTTATCCTATGGACCATTCAACGGGCCTTCTAGACCTCAGTTTTTGAGACAACATCTCTCATTGAACCTGGAGCTCACCATTTTGGTTAGACTAGCTGACACTGAGCCCTGGTATCTGCTTGTGTACTGTTCCTCCCCTAGAACTGGCGTTACAGACACATGTCATGCCTGTCTTTTCCATGCTGTGGGGATATGAACACAGGTCCTCGTGCTTACAAAGAACTGAGCCATCTTCTTCTTCTTTTTTACTTTTCGAGACAGGGTTTCTCTGTGTAGTTTTGTGCCTTTCCTGGAACTCACTCTGTAGGCCAGGCTGACCTCGAACTCACAGAGATTGGCTGCCTCTGCTTCCTGAGTGTTGGGATTAAAGGCATGCACCACCACTGCCTGGCTGCACCATCTTCTTGAATACAAATATTTTATCTATGTTGAGATTTATTTATTTATTTAGAGACAGGATCTCAAGTAACTCAGGCTGGCCTGGAAGACACTATGTAGAGTAGGATGACCTTTGAACTTCTGCCTCCACCTTCTGAGTGTTGGGATTAGAGGTGCGTGCCACCATTCCGGGTTTAAGCAGTGTTGGAGACTAACCCCTGGGCTTTGTGCCTGCTGGGCAAGCATTCACCTGCTCAGCTGTCTTCCCAGTCCTCTACGTTAAGTTTTTTGTTATTTGTTTCTGAGATGAACCTTCTTATGTTGACTGTGCTGGTCTTGGACTCTTGGTTCATTAGACTTTCCTCCCTTATTCTTGCAAAGGTCTGGGACTGCATGTGTGTGTGCCACTGTTTCCAGCTCAATTTTGACAACTATTAAAAAAGAGTCTATATGAAATGGTAAACAGCATATGTAGAGATCTTATTTGCAGATTGACAGGAGATGAGCACGATTTTTTTAAAAAATAAAGGTCACGTTTGGATAGTTAATTCACTAATTTATTTTTTGAGATAAGACCTGCTTGTTCCTGGATGGCCTGGAACTCCCTACGTAGACTATTCTTGTCAGTCTTTAACTTGGGTCAGGAAACCCACCTGCTTCTTCCTTCTGACTATTGGAACTGGATGTATGTGATTTGGGGGAGTTAAATTATTTTTTTCTCTTTTTAAAATTTATGAAAATGTTTTATCAATAAAGATAAATAACATCTTTATATAATTTCGCTACTTTTTCTTTGAGACAGGATCTCACTTTGTAGCTCAGGCTGGCCTCAAACTTGTAATCTTCCTGCCTTTGCCTCTTGAGAGTGAGGATTTCAGGTGTAACCCACTGTGCCCAGCCACTTATCTAAACATGTGCAAACATACACTTTTTTTTTGTTTGTTTTGTTTTTTTGTTTTTCAAGACAGGGTTTCTCTATTTAGTTTTGGTGCCTGTCCTGGATCTTACTCTGTAGACCAGGCTGGCCTCAAACTCACAGAGATCTGCCTGGCTCTGCCTCCCGAGTGCTGGGATTAAAGGCATGTGCCACCACTGCCCGGTGCAAACATACACTTTTTAAACAAAGATATTACTTTCATATTTCCTTGTCAACAATATTGTCATTGGTATATTAAGAATGTGACTGATGGGCTGGGGACTTAGGCCAGTGGGAAAACATTTGCCTAGCATTCATGAGTCCCTGGGCTCAATCTTTAGCACCATAATAAAGAAGAAATGTTACTAATTGTGGGGTGTGTGTGTGTGTGTGTGTGTGTGTGTGTGTGTGTGATAGATGTGTGTGTATGTTCATGTGTTTATGCACGTGTGTGTACATGTGTGCACACAAATGTGGGAGACATATCTCTATCCCTCTACCTTCCATTTTTGAGACAGTCTTCACTAAACTTGGAACTCACTGATATGGCTAGAACATCTGTACAGGGATTTCCAGAGGATCTGCCTGCCTACCTCTCCTACCCACCAGTGCTGGGGTTACAGGCATGCACTCCAAACCTGTTTTTTCCCATGGGTGTTCAGGATCAGAACTCAGGTCCTCACACTTGCATAGAAAACACTTTACTGGTAGAACCATCTTTCTAGTCTCAATGTTACTGATTTTACACCTTGATATTTTAAAAAATTATTTGACTTTACTGAATTCATTTGTCAGTTTAATCTATTGTGGAATCATGTAAATAGGAGTGGTAGACTTCCTCTCTTCCTATGTCTTTTTATTTATTTATCTTGCCTGACTGTTATGGAGAGACCATCCAATACTAGAAGAAAAAAGGTAGTGAAGGTGGACACATACTTGTCTTATCCGAGATATAAAGGCAAAATTAAAAGCTTCTCCCCAATCAGGTATGATACAGGCAGTGAGTTGTCACACATGGTTTCTATCATGTTCATGTATGTTCCTTCTATATGTAATTTTTTGATAGATTTGTCATGAATATTAAATTCTTTTTTAAAATATTTATTTTTAGGTTTATTTGCTTTATTTTTATGTGTATGAGTGTTTTGCCTGCATGTATATATAAACATCACATGTGTGTGGTGCTTGCCGAGGTCAGAAGAGGGTGTTGGATCCCCTGGGGCTGGAATTACAGATGGTTGTAAGACACCATGTGAGTGATGGGAAAAACTCAGGTCCTCTACAACAGCAACAAGAAATGAGCCATTTCTCCAGCCCAAGGAATACTGAATTCTATCAAATGCTTTTTCCTGCATCTATTGAGATAACTGCAGATTTTGAACCAATCAGATATTGCTGGACTATTGATGATAGTAAGATATGGAATTAATCCATATGCTCATCATTGGATAAATGAGGAAATATGGTATATATGCATAATGGAAAACTACTCAGCTGTAATACAAAAACATAACCTTTCTAAGCAAAATGGGCCAAATGGAGGACACTGGGTAAAGTGAAATAAACCAGACCCAGAAATACAAACACCACGTTTTCTTCCCTGTGTGGATGTTAAAATCGTCAGTCTGGATGCAGAGTTCAAAAGGAGGAAAGGAGACAAGGGACACAGGAAGGTGGACAGCAGAACAGACAGAAGTAATGAGCACCGGTGTTCTGTAGCACTGTGGGGTGCCAGGAGTTCACAATGAGGGGGAAAGAACACATTGTAAAAACGCTGAAATATCACACCGTACTCTTAAATATGTACAATTACTATGTACTAATACATCTTTTAAAAATGTGTGAGGAGATAGTAACACTAACTGCCTTGATTTGGTCAGCACAAATTATATGCATTTATAAAATTCTCATGTGTGGGAGCCCACAGAGGCTTCCTAGTGAGAACTTACTCAGGGTCAGAGAATCTGAGCTTGCTTTACCCAGCAGGGCTGCACAAGGGTATGATTTGACCACCGGCATGGTTACCAGGTGTTTGGAAGGGTCTACACTCGGCTGTGTGGTATGCTTTGATTTAGCAAGGGGGAGGTCTTTTGCTTTGTCCCTTGGCATGTTATAAAAAGTCTTTTTGAATAAACCTAAGGGCTATTGGGTATTGACCCAGGCCCTCCCGAAGCTATCCTGTGTCTCTGTCTTTTTGTCATCTAGGTCTTTCTTTCTCTCTGATATTTTCTTATCCCTCTCTTCTCCACCTAAGAACCCTTCAAAAGGTGGGAGCAGGTTGGAGCTGAACTCCCACAGACTCCCACAATCATGCTGTACTCCATCAATACATACAATTCGAATAATAAAAGTAAAATTTGAAAATCAAACAGAAGCTTACAGAAATGATTGGGGAGGGGTCTCAATGTTTAGCCTTGCCTGGCCTGGAAGTCACTCTGTAGACCAGGCTGGCCCTGAAATCACAGAGATCCATCTGCCTCTGCCTCCTGAATGCTGGAATTAAAGGCATTCAGCATCATACCCAGCTACAGAAGTGCTTTTTAAAAAGGCACTGGAGCTGGGTACAGTGGTGTAAGCCTTAACCCTAGCATATGGGAGGCTAAGGCAGGAGAATCATGATTTGTTGGAGGCCAACCTGGACTACATTGTGAATTGAGGGACAGCCTAGGCTACAGAATGAGACCCTATCTCAAAAAAAAAATTTTTTTTGAGAGAGATGGGCTGATGAGATGGCTCAGTGGATAAAGGTACTTGCCAAGCCTCACAACCTGAGTCCAGTTCTCAGGGTACTTGTGGTGGAAGGAGAGAACCATTGTTCTCTCTGCAAGTCTGTGGTGATATATGTGTCCCCAAAAATATTGTGTACCCTAATAAACTTATCTGGGGTCAGAGAACAGAACAGCCACTAGATATAGAGGCCAGAAAATAGTGGCACACATGCCTTTAATCCTATCACTTGGGAGGCAGAGATCCATCTGGATCTCTGTGAGTTTAAAGCCACACTGGAAACAGCCAGACATGGTGACATATGACTTTAATTCCAGGAAGTGATGGCAGAAAGCAGAAAGGTATATAAGGCGTGAAAACCAGGAACTAGAGCTGGTGAAGCTTTTAGCTTTTAGCAGCAGTTCAGCTGAGATCCATTCAGATGAGGAGTCAGAGGCTTTCAGTCTGAGGAAAAAAGATCAGCTGAGGAATTGGCAAGGTGAGGTTGGATGTGGCTTGTTCTGTTTGTCTGACCTTTCAGCGTTCACCCCAATACCTGGTTCCTGAGGTTTTATTAGTAAGATCTTTTAAGATTCATCACACAAGTTGTCCTCTGATCATGTGTGCCATGGCATGCATGTGCACACACACACTAAGTGTGAGAGAGAGAAAGAGAGAGAGAATGAGAGAGACGATTATATAGAGAGACAGAGGGATAGCTATTAAAGGAAACACTCACCTGCTGAGGTAAAGAGGAACCAGAGGGGTCTCCTGCAACAGAACAGTCCTTTCTACACAGAACATTGATTTTTGGGCTTGTTAGAAGCAGTGTCAATTACCTTTTCTTTTGAAGACAGTGTGGGATGAACAAACTTCCTGTACAGGAGGCTGGATCCTTTTGTATAGGGAGAAAGCAGCCAGGCTACAAATGCTATTTTTAGCTCATAATAGAATGGAAACCTGGAAAGATAAGAAAATATACTTTCTGTTAGGTTCTCAGAAGCACCGCCTGAGACCCATGTAGAAAGGTCAAGGTTGGCACGGATGCCTCCCTCCTCATATATAGATGACAGGGTCCCAGATTCCTCATCCTCCACCTGTGGAAGGCACATGTGCACACATGCGCATCGACACACCCAAGACCTCTCTCTGAAAGCCAATTCAGGTTTTGTTTTGTTTGTTTCTGTTTCCCAAGAAAAGCAGGAAGGCAGGTTCCCTCCAGCAATTACAGCGTGGCTTTGCCTGGCAGCAGCTGGCAGCAGCTGGCAGCAGAAGCTGCAGGGCTTTGCTCATGGCAGTTGGCATGTGCATCCAGCTGCAGCTGTGGGCTCAAAAGGTGAAGTTTGTATCTGGGCACCTAGTCATTCATCCTTCATTATTTATGGTCAGGAGACCCAGAGATCAGGGGAATCACAGCAGGGTGAAGCTGGCAGGCTCTCCACACTGGCCAGGCACCTCCCTTTCTTGTCAGGAGAGAAGCCTGACTCCTACCAAGCAGGAGAATCCTACTTACTCTACTCAACTCAGTGGCAGGCACAGAGATCTTAATCTTTTGTGTGTGTGCCAAAAGAAAGAAGAGTGTGGGGTATAAGTAGCATACCATCTTGGACTCCTACACACACTCAAGCCCATTCATTCATTGGTTCCCACAAACACTCCCCTACACCTATCAGAGCCAGCTTATATACGGCACCTGTGGGGAGAGGGGTGGGGTAGCAAAGTTCCAGGATTGCTGGGTCCCTGCAATCCTGGAACTTCCAGAGACAAGATTCTGGCATCTCTGGCTGAGGAGGGAGTGAAGTCAGGAAAACGCTTGCTCTGCAAGTGTGATGCGCTGAGTGTGATCCCCAGAATCCAACAAGAAAGAAAAAGCCAGCTGTGGTAAGATGTAGATGTAACCCTGGCACTGGAGAGGACGAGACAGGTGGCTCCCCAGGACACTGGCCAGCTAGTTTAGCCTGCTCAGTGATGAGTCACAGGCCATGGAGACCCTACCTCCCCCTCTACCCCCCCCAAAAAAATAGATCATAGAGGAAACACACCTGAAGCTCTTTTCTGGCCTACAAATACATGCATGCACACCTGTGTGTGTACCTTCAGAAACACCAGCACACACATGCACACACACACACACACACACACACACACATACACACACACACACACCACACACACACACACACACACACACACACACACAAATACATGCACATACACATGCACACATACCTTCAGAAACACCAACAAACAGAGAAAGAGGATGGAGGTGTGAGAAGAGGAGAGGGTCTGACATCCTAGAATTTAGTAGGAATCTAGCTAGAGATTGACTGATAAGATGATACCAACCTGAGACAGGTGTCCTAGGTGGTCCTAGTGGGCCTCTGGTACTCTCCAGCAAGTCTTTGAAACAATGGAAAAGCCAAGCCCCTCAAGAGGATGAAGATCCATGGGGCTATGGTGAGGTAAGGAGTTTGACCCAGATTTCAACCCTACCACCTCAGTCTCTACCTGGGGCTGTGAATAATCTGGACAGTCACACTGCGGCTCCCTGAGGTAGATTACCACGAGTTCTGATTTTCTGTATTCTGACAATTTGACATCCTGAGGCTTTGCTGACCCTGGGGGAAGTGTCCTTACCAGGGGAAGGCAACTCCAAGAGCTAGCCGAGAATGAGCTCCCCAGCACAAGACTCCTTCTGAACTTCCTTACTTTTTTCTAATATTTTATTTCTAAATTTTCTGTGTGTGTGTGTCTGAGTGTGAGTTTATGCATGTAAGTGCCATGACCACAGAGGTCAGAAGAGGGCATCAGATCCCCCGAAGCTAGAGTTACAGGAGGTGGTGATCCACGGAAGATGATTGCTGGGAACCTAATTCTAGTCCTCTGCAGGAGCAGCAAGCACTCTTAACTGCTGAGCCATCTCTCTAGCACCCTCCCAAGCTGCCTTTTCATTCTATTTTACTTTATTTTAAAGACAGGGTCTCACTTGTAGTCCCAGTGGCCTAGAACTCATTATGTAGACTAAGCTAGCCTAGAACTCACAGATATCTGCCTGTCCCTGTCTCCTGAGTGCTGGGATTAGAGGTACAAATCACCATGCCCATTCTCCTCCATCTCTTTTTTTAAAATAAGAGTAGAAATAGAGACAGTCTATTAAGAAAGGGAAATCACTCCTGGAGTAAGAGTGGGCTAGTGAGCGAGGAAAAGACCTTTGGTCACAGCCTTACACACACAGGCCCACAGTCCAGAGCCTGTGAATCTCCCATTCTGAGCCACTCTGCACAGCGTGCATTTCTCTGGGAGCAGGACCAAGAGATGCACCTGGATCTCAGAACCATTTACAATCGTAACTCCCAATCCACTTTCCTTCCCAGTGCATTCCTTCCCAAGGTGAGTGCCACTGTTCCCACCCTCTGCCTCCAGAACCATCCTGGTACCTCCCCTTGTGGCCCTGCATGGTGCAGTAGGCTGCATTTCCTGTTTCTAGGGGTGGGTGAGCTGAATAAATCTCTCCCTTCCTGTCAGTCATGAGGCAAGTCTGACCACATCTACTTAAAACAAATCTCAGGCATCCTTATTAACACAAGATGCTTATGCTGGTCCGAGGGATCAAAACGTAAGTCTTTCTCAGGCGTCCTTCCCAGATAAAGGGAGCTGAAAACAAAAGCAATCCCTCGCAAGTCATGTCAGAGCCTTTTCAAACTCACACAGTTCCCCTCTCCCCCCATCAGCAGTTCCACCTCACCCAAGCCTGTCCGCTCTCTGCCTCCAGGAGGCTCTTCCTGAATATTCTCCCAGCAACTGGGGAGGCACTTTCCTGGCAAAGCTGTTTCATCTTTCACAGCCACAAAAGACTGGGACTGAAAGAGGAAAGGCGTGATTGATTCCCCCAGAGTGAAACACGCCGGTGATTAATAATGGAGGAACTTTTGTTTGGAAAACAAATTATTTGCCAGCCCAAGGGGAAAGGGGCTGAATCCAGCAAGCTCAGACAGCGGCCTAAGATACACAGACAGTCCCAAGGGCAGCCGCCACACTGCAGCAATTCTAGCTATTATGTAAAAGATATTTTTAAAAAGTAGGTCATGCATGCATGTAGTTAAGAAACGCTAAAGAATCCAAGAGTATACCGTAGTCTCCTTCCCTCCCATGGCCTCTAGACACTTTTCTTAATCAGTTTCTTGCACATCTTGGACTAGGAGCTAGACCTATTCAATCACATAGGGACCTGTGATTCCCTTAACTGCCTGGTAGCATTGGTAGCATGGTAGCATCTCTACACCTCCTTCTATACCTTGTTTTCCCTAATCTGTACAAAATCAACAGTATACATTGGGGACTGTCTCATACCAGAAGATGGAAAGCTTCAGTGTTCTTCATGGCCTCCTATAGGTGTGCAAGCATCTCCCAGGCAAAGGGATTGATGACAACCTTTGTCTATTACAAGCCAAGCTTCCAGCGAACTTCCCTGTGTATACTTCTTTGCATACACATGCAAACGAGGCTCCGGCATGGGTGCTCAGTGGTGGATTATCTGCACGCATTTTGTAGACAGCAGGCACCTCCACACAGACTGAGTAATCACTGTACAGCCAACTAAGAGCCTCTGTCCCAGGCTACAAGACTGGGGTTTAAGGAATGCATATGCCTATTAGACTCTTCCTGGGGCTCCTTGGGACTGCCCAGCCTACCTTAATTCTCTGGACCATTTGTTACAGATCACTAGTTGTTTAGAATCTTTCTGGCATATCTCATCCATGCTGATGCAGCCTTTAAAACCTTCCTGCAAGAAGACTGCAAGACAGCCTGTGCTTAAGAACACGTGCTGCCCAGAGGATGGGAGTTTGGTTCCCAGCACCAATACTGGCAGACTCACAACTGCCTACACCTCCACATCTGGGGGATCTGACACCCTTTTCTGACCTCTGAGGACCCACACATGCCTGTAATGAATGCATACACACACATACATACATACATACACACACACACACACACAAATATAAGAATATCTTTAAAAAACAACAATACACTTTTTTCTTTTTCCCCAATTTTGGTTCATTCCTTGGGCCTTCCCTTGTCAGACCAACAGATATTCAGAGACAATTAATGTTAAAAACATTAACGGATGTGGTCTCTTCCACTCTCCCGGTCTCCCATGTATTCTCCTAGCCCACAGCGGCAGCCCATCCTTATCACAGGGTCAGGACACTGAAGCGGAATGGGATGCAGGTGTCGGAATGCAACTCTAGAGATAAGCTGATTGCCTACTCCTCCAGGACAGGATGTTTCCAGGCAGAAAACAACTCTTAAAGCTGCCTATGGGTAAGGAAGAATGAACAGACCCTAATCTACCTCTACAAATGGTGCACATGAATGGAAATCCAGCCTCTCTGTTGGTCCCAGAACTAGGCCAGTCCTGGTTCCATTTCTTCATTCCCAGCCTGCACTTCCTTCTCAACAAGGCTCTGCCTGTGACGTTCCTGATTTTAAAACTCAGTTTCATCTCCAGGTGATGGGGTTAAACTCTCCCACTTTACAACTGAATTTAGGTTCCAGTTCTCTGAGAAGGACAAACAGGTGTGTTTTACAACAAAGGACCACTTATCTACAAGTCCCTCACATTCAGGGTCGAGGGAGAACAAACACAGAGGGTCTAAGTCAGCCGCACAGTGTCTCAAGGACAAACCCAGCAGCCCCTTCTGAGTCCACGGCCAAGCTTGTGCAGATGTGTCCGAAAATGATAAGACTAGACCTCAGCCAATTAGAAATACATTAATATAACTGCTGCTTGTTAACCACTTATGTAGCTGACCCTGAAACTCCGCTTAACTGTACTCTAAAGGAGCCGACACGTCCCTCACGGGGTTGTCCCCACTCTGTACAGGTGGAATGACCCCACGTGCACGATGGTATAATTAATGCTCTTAACTGTACTCTAAAGGAGCCTGCACGTCCCT